GTCACAGGGCGGCGGGGACCCCACGTCACAGGGCGGCGGGGAAGAGCGTCCCCCGCGTCACAGGGCGGCGGGGGCTCAGGGAGGAGGCTGTGGAGCCGGCCGCCTGGCCTGGCGCTGCCTCACCTGGGCCTCCTGGGCTCCAGCAGTGTCAGCAGCACCTGGATTCCGTTGACGATCACGGACTGGCTCTGCTCCCCCTCGAACATGTTGCTCAGGAGCTGCTCGATGGTCTCCTGCCTGGGGGCGAGGGGGTGAGGCCTGGCTGACCCCTGCGCCCCCGCCCGCCCGCCCGCCCACCCAGAAGCCATACTTCTCCAGGGTGGTCAGCAGCGGGTCGGGCTCTGGGCTGTCCTGCCCCTGGATCATCTGCTCCCGGCTCAGGCGGATGATGTCGCACAGGGACTGGGACGCGTTGGAATGTTGCTGGGGGAGGGAGAGCCATGAGGACCCAGACATCGGGCCCCGGCCCCCCAGGGACAGGAAAGCCATCATCGCTCTCGCTTGCCAATACCAAGGGCACAAATGTTACAAGGCAGGGCTCCTAAAACCCAAAGGGCAAGAGACAGGCCAGGAGAAAGGAAGGCTTCCTGGAAGGAGAGACCCTCCCCAAGACACCTGTACACGCACTCGCTCCTAGCGGCACTACCCTCCAAGCCCAGGGGCGAGGACTGGCCAGATCCTCGACAACAAACAAGCAGACAAAACTCGATCTAATGCTGACTTCCACGAAGCTCGGCCGTGTAGACAGATGGGGCGCTCAGAGCTTCTGCAAGGTGGGTGAACACTAAAACTACTACCATGAGTGAACTAAGCCGGTCACAGGAGACCCTACAGAAGACAGCAGACGGGTTGTCAGGGGCTGGAGGGACTGCCGAAGGGTATGGGCCTTGTTTTCAGGCTGACAGCACGCACGACGTGGTGACGGCACAGCCGTGGGAACCTCCAGGCAGGCCTCTCTCAAAGGCACTTGTAACCACTGTTTTACACGCTGAAGATGTGGGGCTGAGACAAGGAGAGCGAGCCAGTGGGCGTGAGTCCTCCCACAGCACACGTGCCCATGCCGTGTCTGCGCAGGTTTCAGGGACACGAGGGTTAAACCAGGCTACTCCTTGGAGGCCAAGATTCTGGGGCTT